TTTTAAGTGCAAACAGACTCAGTGGCTTAAATTGGGGTTTTGTTTTCGTGTCTCAACAGTTGAACAACACATGGGGGGGGGCAAGCAGCACAGGGGACCTTTCCAGGGGGTCCGCGTGAAGAACTCGGTGAAGGAGCTCCTGCTGCACTTCAGGAGCACCAAACAGATGTCCTCGGGCTCTGCCACGGAGGAAAGCAAGGTAACTAGCATTTTTCAGCACTGACATAATTGCTTTTAATGGTTACTGAAGTTGGTAAAAAAAAAAAAAAAAAAAGAGAAAGGGCATGCGATAAACGCTAGAAGCGAGCTTGTTGTATCTGATGTGGATGGAGTAGTCTGTTTTTCCTTTCAATACGTAATGGAAGAGCAGTGCTGGGAAAAAATTAGTGAGAAGGTTTACTGCGGGAAAAAGAGGCACTTAAAAATGCTCTTACTAAGCTTTATTTTCTAAATGGAATTTGGATAAAGATGTGTTTGTGTTACAAAACCACAGAAACTCCCTGTTAATTCGAATGAGGTCATTCACTGTAAGAGCTGGAGAATCTTCTGAGAAGAGAATTGTTTGTCGTGTTGTTGCGCTCCTCTGTACGGAGCATATGGTATAAAGGCAGACTGCTCCAGTCTGAAGAGATAGAAACAGAAAAAAAATGTAATAAATTCTGTGAAGATTAAAGGAGACTTTCTTTTTTTTTTTTTTTAGATAGTCTTACTGTATGTTTGCAAGCTTCCTAGACAAGTGTTGTCACAGGAAAATTTTTGCATAGAAAATTTCACAGCATTGAAGAAGTAAAAAAGTTTGTTGCCTTATTTATGTAAAAAAAACCCCCAACTCAGACCTCAGTAACAAACAGTGTCCTTCTCTAGATTTTCTTGAGTTTTGTGGCATTCTAACAAATAGCTTAAAAAGCCTTAAGAAAAATGGTGGTTTTCATTTGAGTTCCATAGAAGTATTTCTATTTTCTAACCTTAATTAAAAGCAATTAAATTGGGGTTAGACAATCATGTACTAGAATTATTCTAAAGTATATTCTGTGTTTATAGAAGCAAGTCTCTGCTTCTTTCTTCTTGATTTTGTTTTGGTTTTTATTCCCTGAAATAGTATTATACTAATGGAATAATTGGGTTTTTCTCAAAAGGCACAAGGAGGATTGGTGAACTACGAGCAGTACACAGGTAAAAACCCCTTTCTTTAAATACCCTGCAATAAGATTTGAAAAGTTGATTGTAAGAGTAACCTCCAAATGGATTCTAAATTAATTTTCTTTTCAGCAGACCTGAAGAACGTACTAGGTCACAGTGGTAAAAGAAAGGCTCCTGAGCTGCTTTCTGATGGACCTTCTTTCAAACGCCAGGCTCACCAAGTTCACCCACATCTCCTAGTAAGCAACTTTCCACACCTTTATTTTTCAGTTTGCTTTGTGTAATCAGAAACTGACAGATACAGTAATACCTCTTAACTTTATGGGGCTTATTGTAATTTTTCTGTTTTTCTTTTTCCTGACAGACACCACCCCAGACACCAACTTCTATGGATAACATGGAGGAGGCGCATAAAAATGACCCAAAGCACGACAGCAGTTCTGATCTGCTTCAGAACATCATAAACATCAAGAACGAATCAAGCCCTGTTTCTCTGAACACGGTGCAGGTTAGCTGGTTGCACCCTGTCTCCAGTCACAGCTCGCCTGGTGAGCCGTACCAGGACAGCCCGGGATCACAGGCTTTCTCCCCACCCCAGAAGTACCAAGCCTTCCAAGATCACACGTCCCAGCATATGCTTGATCCACCGCAGCATTGCCAGTTCCCTCCACCCCAGAACCAGGATTTGTCACAGAGCTATCCTTCAGACGTCTCCCTGGAGTACAGGCTGTTTACTGCCAATGACCAGTCTCCTGCCTACCAGCAGAATACCTTTGACAGCCACGAGCTGCAGTACTGCCCGTCGCAGAGTTTCTCTTCCCTGTTGAATGACTCTGAAGGCCCAGAGAACATCTCCACTCCCCTCCAGCCGCTGACCAGTGCCCACCCGCAGGCTGACGTTGGCCCCCACGCTCCGAACTTCAGCTTACTTTCCAATAACATCTGCAGTAGTCTGGAGCGCAGTGTCTCTTTGGCCACTTTGAATGTCTCTCTACCTGAACAAAACATCTCCCGAAGCACGACGCAGCTGGGAAAGTCGTTTTTTCAATGGCAAGTAGAGCAGGAGGAAAATAAACTGGCTAACATCTCTCAAGACCAGTTCCTTGCAAAAGACTCAGATGGAGACACGTGAGTGCTGTTTATCTTGGTGTTTCTGATGTGGAAGGTTCGGGAATGTTTCTGTTTGGGTTTTGGTGGACCATGGGTTGTGACGGAAGCAGTTCGTTAGCAGTGTTTGTGTTGAGTGCAGTAGTTTCACTAGTCAAGTGAAATGCACTGTCTTGCTGATGGGTTGTGATGCACAGAGTTGCAGCACACTGAGTAGATAAGGTGTTGGTATTGTCTAATATCAGGTTCTTATTATTAGACTTTTATCTAATAAATGAGGAGAAAAAGATACTAATTTAGATGCTTTAAATTGCCTTGGAAAGAAGGTTCCTGTGTTCCTGTGTTAGTCACCCAGAGGAGATCTGAAGCTGACAGCATAACACTGCTTCCATGTGTTTGGATCTCTGTAATGACTTGAGCCCCAGTTGTTATGGTGGTGTAACTCTTGTGTTTTCCCTCTTTTCCTGCAGCTTCCTTCACATTGCGGTTGCCCAGGGCCGACGAGCTCTCTCCTATGTTCTTGCAAGGAAGATGGCTGCCCTGCACATGCTGGATATTAAAGAGCACAATGGCCAGGTGAGGTTCTCAAAAATCTTTGCACCTGCTTTGTGCACCTGAGTACTGCATGTCTGGACCTTGAGGAAGATGTGGTGAAATGCTTATTTAATATTAACCCCGAGATTTAGCGCGCATACTAATATTAACCTTGAGCTATTAATACTTGGGATCACCTTGAGCTGGTAAAACTATGTGCTGTGCTTCATTTGTCCTGGCTTCCTGGTATTCATAATCACTGCTTAAATAATACCAGGTAGCTAGACTTTTTATTTGTTTTAGTTGCTCTTTCCTGTTGGAGTTCAGATGACTAATAGTTTAAAATTTCTTCTCGGTGTTTGCAGAGTGCTTTCCAGGTTGCTGTGGCTGCCAATCAGCATCTCATTGTGCAGGACTTGGTTAGCTTGGGAGCTCAAGTCAACACCACAGACTGCTGGGGTAGAACGCCGTTGCATGTTTGCGCTGAGAAGGGGCATGCCCAGGTCCTTCAGGTAAGAACCAGGCAGGTGTAGCTCTGCCCTGACCGTTGAGGCTTATACTTCATATTAGTTGTCTTGGGAAACTCTCAAAACACCACTCCTCCCTTTACCATTCTCTGTGTATGTAGCCTTGTGAGTATAACCCAGGGCTCTGCAGTAATGGTGAGACTGAGATTTCACATTTAAGTTCCCACCAATGTTTTAGAGTAATTTGGTGGAATCCTCTAGTCTACAAAAACAATAAATAAGTCTCTTCTTAGTGCCATTATTTATTGCAGCAAGACTGTATACAAGCTTGAGGAAGCAGTGTGTGGTTTGGATAAGACCTAAACGCATACCTCTTCCCACTTGTGTAGGCAATCCAAAAGGGAGCCATGGGAAGCAATCAGTATGTGGACCTTGAGGCAACAAACTATGATGGTGAGTAGTTAAGAGTTTATAATTTACAGAGTTACTGGATGTTAAATTGTTTTATGGCTGCGGATGTGAATGTTATCCTGGGTTGAGAAACAATAAAATAGAGTGTATCTTTGCCATGTTGAAATTTACAATTAAAATTACATCGCAGTTGGCATATCTGTCAGATAAAAACATGGTTAACCATGTCTGTGCCTGTCTGGACCTCTTCCCTCTTAAGTGTGATTACTGTGTTTGGCATGGAGAGTTTAGATGGTAATAGGTGGTTGTTAAAAAAAGTGTGAGTGCCAGTGATACATTGGTGGATACAGAGGCCAGAATCTCTGACACTAGAGAGATGTTTTAATTGAACCACTTTCTGTACAAAAGCTTTTTCTAAAGTACATTTTGTAAAAAAAAAAAAAATCAGAAATTGATTATTTTATTATCTGCTGGCTGAGAGTTCACAGCAGGTTGCTACTTAACTCCTCTGGTGACGGACAGCCCAAATCCTGAGCCATTCAGGAGCAATCACTGTCGCTTACAAAAATTAAACTGTCCCTGGGCTTGACAGAGAGAGAAGCTCCTTTATCCATCCTTCAAATGAAGCAGCCAGTCAGTACTTCTCTATTGCATTTGTTCATTAATGATGATTTCTTTTTATGTTAAGGTTTGACAGCGTTGCACTGTGCTGTTCTGGCCCATAATGCTGTGCTGCATGAACTGCAAAACAGTCAGCCACCTCACTCCCCTGAGGTCCAGGAGCTTCTGCTGAGAAACAAGAGCCTGGTAGAAACCATCAAGACTCTAATACAAATGGGAGCATCTGTTGAAGCAAAAGTAAGTATGTGGCTTGGCATGAAGTGCCAGATCCAGAGGGGATGTGGAAGCAGAATGTGTCCCTTTCTCCCATGCCACATCTCAGCTGTATTACAAAGGAAGTAGGCTAATTTGAAAGCTTCCCTACAACTTAATTTACCGAACTGGAATGAGAATGTTGCATTTATTCAGAACAAGGTATTATCAATGCAAATGAACCCTGAGGAAGGAGGGAGGTGACAATCTAATTTCTGGATTACGAGTGATGCTACATTGGCTGCAGCTGGTTGTGTCTTAAAAAGTAAGAATATGTTTGGAGCACTCAGTTATCTGTAGTAGGAGGGTGCTGATGATACCTTGTTCTTGAACTGCAAATTTTAATCAAAAACTACTTCTCCAGTTTAGGTCTGTGCTGGGCCACATAATTACTCAGTATAACATTTGGTGTTTTGTTTATGTAAGCTTACTGCCAAATGAGAGCTGGGCCGTTGTTTGTTAGATATTCTTATTAAAATATGTATTCAGATTGACTTTCAGTGGATTGTAGTGCGAATATACTTGTTCAACTCTCTGCAGTTACACTGCTTTCTCTTTTGTCTGCGTGTTCACCCTGGATAGGTGAAGTACCTGCAGTGAAGGCTAAACAGTTTCTTTTCTGATAGGATCGCAAAAGTGGTCGCTCAGCTTTACATTTGGCAGCAGAAGAAGCGAACCTGGAGCTCATTCGTCTCTTTTTGGAGCTGCCCAACTGTCTCTCTTTTGTTAACGCAAAGGTATGGTGATTTTTCTGGAATGCAGATATAATCTAGGATGTGCACATGTGGCACCGTGAGTCCCAAGACTCATGCCTCTACCTTTCCTTCATGGAGTTACTTTGTCTTCTCCAGGCTTACAATGGCAACACAGCACTCCACGTGGCTGCCAGCCTGCCATATCGGGTGAGTCAGTTGGATGCTGTGCGCCTGCTAATGCGAAAGGGAGCTGATCCAAGTGCCAGAAACTTGGAGAACGAGCAGCCAGTTCATCTGGTTCCTGATGGCCTTGTAGGAGAGCAGGTAAAGAAACCAAGCAACCCTCTCCTCTGCTCCCATCTGTCCCCAGCTATGAAAAAGCCATATTCCTCTCCAAAAGTTTATTTTGAGTTTTGAGTTGTAGCTTTTAAGCAAAGATCTAGCAAATGCCATGTTATTCAGGGATCTTTGGTTTTAAGGTCAAGAACAGGCAGAATATACAAAGACCTGAAATGACAGGTTTCACTTGCAGCTTTTATTTTTGCATCTCAAACTTTCTCCTGTCAAGAAATGTTTTTTTCATCATAACCTTGCAACATACTGGAGGTAATATCCCTCCTCTTGTTCATCTCGGTATGGTTCAAGGTCATGCTTTTTGTTGCTGTTGTCATAATTAGTAATGGCAATTCTTAGGCCTGAATAACAGATGAAGAAAATCCCTTTTTTCCTAGGAGCTATACAAAAACGTGATGAAAAAGGTGACTCTTGACTCAAGAAGCTAGTAACTTAAGCAACTGAGCAATTCAGTTGCCTTTCATTGGTTCAAATGCTGGATCAATTCTGGTGTAACTGAACCCATAATCTAGGCTCAAATAAATGAGGAATGCAGAACTGGGTCTAGGTGTTTTTTAGATTATGACTCAGTTTAGGACGATGAATGCTAATGTTTTATCTTTTTATCTTTTCCAGATAAGACGTATCCTAAAAGGGAAGGCGATGCAGCAGAGAGTGTCGCCATTTTAAGCTCCATGTTTCTTGGAGTTCAGCAACTCACACTCACTGTCAGTCAGGCAGTCCTAATGTATCTGTAAATAGACCATTTGCCTGGTGTGGGCAAATGTTAGTTGTTTCTATGAAACAAAAGTGTTTTGTTCACTATCATATAGTGGGTTATATAAGAGTAAAAAAAGAAAAAAACCAAAACCAACCCAACAATAAGATTCCTCTAAGTAAACGGGAGTGTTTCATTCCTAGTATGTGGAACGTTTGCCTAGATACCTGGATTTCATAGCTACGGGCAAGACTGATTTATTTTTTTTTAAACAGCCATACGGATAACTTCAGGACAAGGACAATTCTACAGGAAATAGTTTTATTTAGAGATGGCTGATACATGTCAGAATTGCAGAGGGTTTTTTTGTGTTTTTTTTTAATAACACTTTAAGTGCAAGAGAAATATTTTTTAAGTTGAACATTTATTTATGTAACTTTGTAGCTTTCTTCCAGTATCTTGGGCAGGGTTGTGTATAGTCACTGGCATTATTGTACAGCTGTATAGTTCTAAAACTGTCGATCACTTGAGGAATGAACTGAAGAAACAAATTCCTTGATCTTGAACTTGCAAATTGCGTATAAAGTTTTAATACTATACTAGTCCAAACTGGGTAAATTCTGTTGTTTTGAAAGACTGAGGACTGGAAATACAGTTAAGATAGGTTGTCTCTAGCTCTGATTTGTGCATGCTTTTGGAGTTGTTAATAAAACATGAAAAGCCATGCTCCTTCAGGGGACTCTGCCAGTTTTTCTTGTACCCAGTAGAGGTTTTTCTTTTGATGGGACAATAGATTGAGGGGAAAAAGATCATGGCTTTTATAGTGTATATAACTTTGTTGTACTTTAAAGAATACCATCCTGATTCAGTGAAAGTATTTAGTATGTACTTAACTGTTGATGCATGCTGAAATCTCTCCATGTTAATTATAATACTTCAATATGTGTAAGGCCCACTAGTGTCAGTAGGACTTAAGCACATACATAAGTAGTTTTCTGAATTGGGCTCTAGTTAATTCTAGAGACTTAGTGTTTTTCACCTCCTAAGCAGAGTTAGTCCATTTATGGTTTTACCTTATAGGTATAGTGGCTAGCCGAGTGATATTTGAAGTTAATAATGTTTTTCTATTTTTTAGTAATTTTGGGTATTAATGCAAAATGTATACTAATGATGCTGTATACTTTTGTTGGAGAAAACAACCTTCTGCTATCACTTTCTGAATGATCTGTGCTGGGCTGTAATCCAGTAATATGTTCTCTGTATGGTCTTTGCTCTTAAGTGATTTTTGCATCACACACAATTCTCTGCCATTAATTGTTTAATTAGTCTGATTGTGCTGTTTTGACAAAGTATGTCTTGTAGACAAGCTAAGTGAAAGAATCTGATATGTGGAGGCCTAGTTGTGATGTATTTCTTGAAGGGTCTCATGTAACTTGTGTTTGAATAAACATGCTAATTAAATTTTGGTGGTTACTGTCTGTGATACAAATAATGATGATGAAATCAAGCTTGATATAAAACTGATTTAGTGTGGTACTACTGTGAGACTGGTGAAGGTCCATTTGCTAAGGATGAAATCAAGTCTTCCACCTCGCTGTTCATGCTTTCTCATGTTTGATGTTGGTTTTGAAGCTGGTGCTTGGGTGTTTTGGGTTGTGTGCCATGCAGTTGCATTGCCTGTGTATTTAGCAGATGTGCCCCAAATAGAGCTAATAGTCATCAGGTTGTCCAAATTGAGGTTGTTACCTGAGTGCTTGCCCCTGTATACTTGAAAGAATGATAGCAGTTTTGACAATCTCATGTTTTCCCCATGGCTTCCTTGCCTTTGTCCTCAATTCTTACAGCTCAGGTACAAGCACCATAGCACAGCTGGCATGGGCAAATGAGGCTATACACATTCCTTGCTTCACAAAAAGATGGGCTCTGAGCTGGCCATGACCTTTCAGGAGGGCTGTCCTTGCTGAGCACTGAGCTGGTGGGATAGCAACAGTCAAGAAAAGTACATGAAGCATTAATTAGGATCTGTAGGAAAGGAACTGAAGAAAAACCAGAGCGCCTCTATGCTGCTGTATAAATGTCCACCCCTGCCTTCCTGCTGTGTGCAGGTAGGGTGTCCCCACTGCTGAAGGTGTTTGAGGATTGGAAGAGGCCCAGAGGTGTGGAGGAGCCTCCCTGCAGAGAGCAACAGAGCAGAGGAGAACTTTTCAGCTGCACAAGCAGTGTCTGACAGCAGGTACAACAGGCCTGCAGCGTCATGTTAGGCCACTGGGTTGGGGTGAACTGCTCGCTGTCCCTTCCAGCATGAGAGCTAGAGGCTATTGTTGAAGGCACTCACTGCATGACAGGATGCGATTCCTCGAGATAGTTAAAGAATGTGGCAGAAGCAAGATGTATGTTGATGCAGGGAGGTACTGTGTAGATGCTTAGAAGAAGGAACTTTTTTGTGGAGCGTTATTGAAGAGATTAACCATGTGAGGCATGTGTTGGAGGGTGCTGGGAGGGTCCTTGGCCAAGTACTGTACAATCATGGAGGCTTGCACTGCTCTCAGCTCTTCCCTGGGGACTTGCTAATGGACACTCTTGCAGACATGGTACTGGACAAAGTTACACCCTTCACCGAAATCATTGCAGTTAGGCTCTTAGTGGTTCATGAGTTCAATCTGGCTGCACAAAAGTGAGCAAAAAAAGTGTAGTAAATTCATCTCAGCTGAGTGCTTTTGCAGGGTTCTTGCAGATCCTTTGCTCTTGCTCTGTGCAAAAACTGGTCTCTGGAAGTCTTGAAAATCATCTTTTTGTGCTGAGGTAAGGTGATGGAGAGAGGAGGCTGTATGTTGTTTAGCAGGTAAGAATGCAAAATGATGATGGAGACTGGAAATGGGATTGAATTTCTAGTTAGGGTATACAAAGATGAAATGGCAACTGTTTGTGTGAACAGCTAATTGGGCCTAGACTGTGGTGAAGATGCTGTCATCTGCACATCTCATTGCAAGTGACCCTCCCTTAGCTTTTTTCTTTTTTTATGAGGAGTCTGACAGTACTGTTTCCACTTAATTTCCATTTTCTTTATAAGAGGTGATTCCGCATTGCTGATGAGATATTCTGGCCTTCAGATCAGCCCAATCCGACTGCCTGGCCCTCCTTCCTTGGGTGGTGTTGACAAAGTCATCTCACAAAGGGATGAAGTACCTTGGGCTTATGAGGGTGGCAGAGCATAAGCATGTGCTCCGTCAATGCTTGAGCATGAAGTGGGTGTTGCTGGTGAGAGGCGTTTAGCAAGCAACATGGTACTTTCAGTGGCATTTGTGCACTTCCTGAAGGGGTGCTCCTGGCACTCCCAAGTTAGAAGATTCCTGGGGGGAGACTGAAGTGTTTGAAATTAATCTGCCTAGAGCCTAATTTCACTGTCTCAAGAGTTCAGTAGGTGATTTCACAAGAAAGCATAACTACTGGAGGTATTGAAAAGACGTGTAGATGTGGCGCTTAGGGACATGGTTTAGTGGTGGACTTGGCAGTGTTACGTTTATGGTTGGACTCGATCTTAAAGGTCTCTTCCAGCCTAAATGCTTCTGTGCTTCTACTCTGACTCATTTTTCTCTCTTATAACATTAGGAAGTTCTGGTGTATCTGACATGATATAACTAGCTATTAGAAGCAAGCCCTTTTTACTGAAGGGCAAGTAACACTAAATATTTAGCTGGCTAATAGTGTTTACCTGGAAACTTATGGTGCTGAAAACTTAAAGTGCTGAATAGCTTTTATTGACTGGGATGCAGAAGCACCATTTATTTCTCTGGCTGGAGTAGAGGCAGAAGAGACTCTGGCTTGGGTCTGAGAAGGGATATTAAGACACATGGAGCTTTGTTCCCAGGACGTTTCTGATTTATTTGCCTAAGTAAGCCAAACTTCAGGAAAGGTTTGCTTTTTAATTTTTTGTGGGCTATTTATCTGGCTGGATTTGCGGAAGGTGGCAATTCACGATTTCCAAGAAACGAGCTCTGCTTCTGGGGATGGAAAATGTACATTTCCCACATTTATTGCTCATTTTGTATTTTGATGAGAAAAAGAAAACATATGCAGGAAGTGCATTCTTATGTTGGGTGTGGTAGAAGCAACTTCAAAGATACGACATGAACTGCTTGTTGTTCTTGCCTGACGGTTTGCTTATCTGGTTGCCTTTCTTTTAAAAATATATATGCTTTTGTGTGTAGGGGAAGAGCTGAGGACGACTAAAGTGCAGTGAACATGGGAAGCTAAATAATAGGTTCCTGCAATTAAGTATCTGACACAAAATGACCTGGTCTTTCGGTGCATTCAAAACAAATTCTTCTGCTGTTATACCTTTTCTGGGTGTTTGGGGGTGGTCTTGGTCTGAGATACTGATGGCTTGGGAGACTCATACAACTGACTGCTCATCAAGTTGTCTAAGTGTCATCCAGCCTCCAGTACTGTTGCCTTTCACTTTTCATGATTAGGACAAGGACTCGCACTGCTGGTGCAGATACTGGCCTGTGCCTGGGTTTACAAAGGTGAGTGGCACCCCCAGAAGTCAGGGCACCTTTCAAGCAGAATCTCACCTCTCTTCCCACTGCCTCCAGGGCTGCAGTGAGTGCTCGCTTGGCAGCATTTTGTTATTTTGAGAGGAAGCCACTCTTAGCATCTTTCAATTTCTTCTAGAAGGTGAAATACTAATTTGAGAGGAGAAAGGTTTAGTTTGCTCAAGGGAGGGACTGCTGATAATTTATGCCTCTAAATGAGGCACAACTAGCCCCTAAATGAAGTTGCTCATGACAGATGGCCTTGCTATCTGGGAATGCTCATCTGTACACAAAGCCCATATGGGCAGCTCTGTTTCCTGGCAAAATTTCCTGAGTGTTGCTGGCTAATGGACCCGTGTCTAATCTTAAAGTGTTTCTTCAGATTTGATCACCATTAGCAAAATCTTAAGGCAGCACTAATGAAATTGGGAAACACACTAGTGCAGAGATGCTACACAAGAGCTTGTCTCTTTTCAAATAGTTGGGTTTGGAGGTCGGTTTCTCCTTCAGGCACCTATCTTGGTTTTGCTGGAGAAAGGTAATGTATCTTGCGCTGTGTTTTTTTAGTGTGTATTTGTTTTCAGTGCTCATGATTAAGAGGCTGACTCAATAAGTCTGTTTTACCTGGTAAACTTTACTCTTAGGTCTGCAAATGCAACTTTTGAGAAAGTGGTTGCTGCACTAATCAACCTATACTTCACACGTGGTTTTCCTCT